TCCTAATGCAAGCATAAAATAAGGTATAATTTCATTAGAATTCCTAAAAATACTTTAGAAGCACTTCTAACTTGGATGTTCAAATTATTTGTAGGAAAAATGATCTGATCTCTGTTCTGATGAGAGAGAAAGTATCTATAGAACCACCTTAAAGGGTAAAGAAAACTGTTTGATTTAAAAAACTAAGGATTACTGTGATCCATTATGTTATGTAACATATTATATTAGATTATAATATAAATGTCCGACAACTCTACAAATTAATAATAAAGGTAATAAGTCTTCATAAAACTCAAAATTTAAAATGACAAAACGATTCATCAGAAATCAGTCATTTCACGTTTCTATCCTAGATGAATAACTAAAATGGTAAAAGTCTAGCAAAGGAATTGAGGTCCAAGAAATGTGGATAAAGAAAACGACAAGAGATCGGTTTTGGTTGTTTTTTTGTTGTTTTGGCGTTTCACAGTGGCGTCACCTTTTGAAGCTGTCGAATGCTGACCGCTTTGGCGGTGCTACAGGGTCGACCTTGTCCCAACCTCCGGTCTTCGAGGTCGTCGAGGTTCGGTGTTCGCTGCTGCTCGTGTGATGTCGACTTCGAGTTAGTCACCAATTCGTGCCAATGCAGAGAGCCAATCAGAAGGCGAGACAGAAGTCGAGCAAGGGGAACAGGGGGTAATTATTAATCTTGTTAACTTCGAGCGGTTAGTTTTGAGTTTGCAACTCTTTTTCGTTTCTCCCTCGCTCTAGTCAGCGGCCGTGTTATCGGCAAACTCACTAACACTCTTGTTTTATTTTCTCTTCTGTTTCTACTGCTTCCTGACATCAAACATTCCACATTATCAATTTGTTATTAGTATCTGTTGAATTAATAATCTTATCGAAAAATTGAATGAACTGTCTGCAGTACAATTTTATAGTAATAAATCAATTACAAAATTTTTTTATCAAAGAGTATCAGAACTCTACTCCTAGAGAATTAATTGTAATTCTATTCGGTTCTCGGGGGTTGTGTGAATTACCAGTTCCCCAGGCTTGAAATTAGTGATGAGAAGAGAAACGTTAGTTCGAAATAGTTTGTTGTCAAGAACCAGTAGAATAAGTGCTCCAAAGAAGGTCCATTCCCAGGATAAAATTAGAAACTTCCCTCCATTATATTTACATGTGAAAGAGATGTAGGAATAGCATTGCAAGTTACACGTCCTCGTCCGTCATTCGCAAAAACCCTCTAAAACACTAGTATACTTTATCAAGTAGATGGAACTCCTGTTTAGAACCTCTGTACTCTTATTACTCTTCGATTTTGCAAAGCGATGTAAGAAAAGAAACAAAACACGACATTTATCAACGTCAACTTTGCTGCCAACAGTTCCCAATTTTTTTCAATTCTTTAACCCTCTAACAGAAAGCTGAAGCATCCCAAACATTAGGAAAAACAGATAGAACTTTCGAAAAAACGAACTTCCAATCGTTTCTCAATATTGGATCAACATGTATATAAAAAATAATAATGTTTAAAATATAATGATAAATCTAAATTTAGGAACTGCTGATGCAACCTATATACTTGTTAACGTTTTACGGGTTACACGATATTACGTCACTCGGCGATTCAGTAATTAGATAGGCTAAAAACCAAGTGTCCGCAACATGCCAATTAGCGGAAATAAAATTACTTTGGTAAGTCAGTAACCGATCTGTACATCCTAGGAGAAAGATCTCAGCGATAATACTTATTCGCGTTTTGCATCGACAGAAGAAAGCGTATTTCTTAACTTAATGAAAACGTGAAAGTGTAACTCGATCGTCTGAAGATTGAATAATTTTGGGAGATTCAAGTACGTAGTTCTTTCGATTCATCGTAGGCTGCAAATTTTTATGCATGAAAATGTGAACTTGCACAGCCACGTCACAGTATTCGCGTTCAATGTACACAGTATATGTATAAAATATCACATATGTGACACAAAATCAATTGTTTGATTGCATTTTATAGAATACTTGCATAAAAATTCACATTTTAATTCGTATCTATTCAGTAATACATCAATCATTTATTATTATCTTCCACTAAAATAATTAACTGATACATATTTCGCATATCACCTATGTAAACATGATAATATTATATTTATTCGAGTACTCGAAGGAAGGTACTCGCAGAATTGGTTTACTGGGAAACTAAAAAATAATTTAATCATCTATTTCACTTGAGTTTCGAGTACTCAAGTATTCTTTACAATATTAACGCTGCCATTAAGAAGCCACGAATATAAAATAAAAATACATGTAACATAATTATGAAATATAGAACAATAATCTTCGCCGATTTCTCAAATTAGTTTTAAAATAATAAAACAAATAAAGATTCTCTTAATTATTACTGATTGATTATAATGTGGGAAACATCACTTTCACACATACTCCTTTAATACATTAATAAAAAAAATTCAACATGAATTTATAATCTGTAATACTTTTTCTTCATTCGCAAACAAACTAATCTCGTTGTTGATCGATGCTGCACTAATTGCACCTGATAATTGTTAGATATTTGAACAATATTGGAGCTAACGCGAATTAACTTATCACCATCGCGGTTCGAGCGTTGTCATTTGCAACAGACTCAAGATTGAACGTTACCTCGGCACTCAGGTATGGAAAAACTGATCACCGGAAGCGACAAATCCTCTTTGAATAGGTCGACGACCCGGTGTTTTAAAATACATAACGCGACGACTCCGTCGTTTCACTGATTTAACTATCCACGTCCTTATATCTAGACTATACATTTTAATGCAAAATAAAACGTTTATAGTAGCACTTTAAATTCTTAGTAATTATCCTCATTCTAGTTAAGTAGCATAATTATTGAATACAATAGAAAAAATTATTAATACATGTGTTCGTGGTCTAATTTTTATCACCATCTATCCTGCGACAATGAAATAAAGTAGAGAGCATTTAAGAAACAATCAAAAGAGAATTACGATTAATAAGATAATTTCGGAAAGAATGTCACTGTATCCTGTCATGCAATGTAACGCATACTTTATCCTGAATAGTAGTTGACGAATGAGAAAGAAATGGCTTCCGCTTTGCACAGGGTACAGTCGAAATAAACAATTTACATGAATTTTTTCACGTACTCTCGTGTAACTATAAAAAGATTTCGAAGTTAAAATCTTTTATCAAAACATCTGTACACTAAATCCTGTTACAAAACCATCTCCCAATTTGCATAGTAAGGAGACACGATATTTCGTACACGTGTATGCTTGAACTTAACCATGACGAACGTTGAAGAACCGCGATAAAGGGCAGAAAAGATGAGGGCGTGTTTTCACAAACGCGTCGTTTAAAGAGCCACAAAAGGCAAGGAAGAGTGAAGATAAAGTGGGGTAGACGTGGAATTAAAAGAGGTTCCTCTCTCCTTTAGCGGAGGAGGCCTCTTTCACACGGAACAAAAGCGGTCCCGTATCGAGTGAATCGCGATGTCTGTCAAAATGTCTTTCTTCTGGCGGCGTACCGCGACTAAAACGTGCGCACAGGAAGAACCGTTTCTGAAAGAGTACGCGGTAGGTAGAGGTAACGATAATTATCCACACGGCATGGCACGGCACAGCAAGAGAAAGGTCCTCTGTGTCTCGCGAACGAGTCACGAGAAGTCAACCGTGAGCCCGAGCAGGATATCTCTCGAACACGGAATCGCCGAGCTGGAAAGGCCAAGCCACGCGATACTTCCCTAACTTTGGACGACAATTCGAGTTACCATAGCCTCTAGCACGTATTTTGAGACTTCCCTGATCTATGCTAATAGCACATTAATATTGCATGAGCCCTGACTCCCGTTTCTTTCATTTCTTTGTAAATGTTGTCGACATCGACAACAACTCGAAACAAGTAATTAGAGAATTAGACGAGCGATATTCATATTACACCTTTGTGCTTGAAAACTGTTAACACAATTTTTATTAAACGATATTTTATATGCATTTTACATTTTATAGAATTTACGATAATTCTAATTGTTTCCTACATCAAACATCAATGATTAATGTTATAATGCATAAAAATAATGATTTTGAAAGAAATAGAAATTAACATATTTCCAGTAACTTTGCCAAATATAAATTCGTTTCGGATTCGTGCTCATCACGGCGAAGAATTTTCCATCGAGTATAACAGTGATCGTAATTTCACCGGGCGGAGAATAAAGATAGGACGGAGGACGTCCAATTTATACCTGGCACCATTTCAATGAATAGTTTATAAATTTCGCGGTATGGAATGCAAACTGACTGTGTTCTTGGCCTACAAAAACCAATTGAAAAAAATCGATGACTGGTCCTTGATGTTGCTAATAAAACCGATATTCCTTAATAACTGATCGTGTTTGTGGTAAGCATTTATGCATACTAGACATCGGTAGAAAATGCAGAACCGAAAAATAACAATTATAGAATCGACATAATCTCATTCATAAAAGTCAAGATAGATATACATTTGAATAATAGTCAAGGCATCTTTTCGGTTCTCAATAACTGTTCCAAGAATCAAAACTGATACCATAACTTTTTCGGAATTGGAGGAAAAATTTTGAAAGAAATGGAAGAACTTTCGTCTCCAAGTTTCGCACCTTCAGAGGAAGATCGTACATTTTAAAGCATCCTGTATTGTAAAATTATTGTATGAAACATAATAGCAACAAGAGACTCATTATTATTAATCATGTAACTGTACAGTAGCAGAAATACGATCGAGTACAGTAGGACATAGGACAATTGGTGCTGATTATATTTTCTCGTTAGCTATTGTTAACTGCGAGTCAATCATCTAATTCAATCACGAATAAGTCGAACGGAATAGCAGTAAATTATTTCGAAGTTAAATACAAATGAAAATTACCGAATCGAACTGCTTTCTAAACATAATAGTTCATAATCTAAAGAGTATTTTTAATAAGACGTAACAAGATGATGTGCAAGATTATATAAATTAATAGCTCTCAACGTCGCGTGACTACTTCCTCATTGTCTTGTTTCAAACGTGTGGCATGCCGGGAAGATAAAACTCTGTCTGCATCAGCGTTGCGGCAATTTCTCAAAGGAAACTTAATACGCACTATTAATATACAATACGACGCGTGCCTTCTCGCATATGGGCTATGAAACGAGCACGCTAATCGTTCGCGAGCTCACGATCTTGGAGATCGTGAAGGAACATAAATCTAGCTGCACCACGTTGGAAAGCTCATCCGCGAACTTTCGAGCATAGGTTTCGTGCAACATCGAGACGAAGTTGAGAGCGTAACGTGTTACACGCGAGATTAATTCACTTTACACTTATACGCGTTTCACGTCTTGCTATCTCTGAGGTAGATCAAGTATCGTGGCACAAGTTCTCGTGAAACATTCGATTAATTTAAACTATAAATAACCAATGCTTCCAAGACGCTTCATGAATAATAAACATCTTATTGGATTTATACGCAAATTTTTTGTATCTGATTTATTAACATTCTATAACGAGTTTGTGCTTTTATAATTATTCAAAGGATTGAAGACTATATAACAAACGACCTTTATCTGAAAC